CTATAAAATTTCTATATTCTGACAGTTTTGGCATAGGCAACCTGGCTTTCTCCAGAGATATGGAACTTAAAGTCAAAGCATCTAGATCAGTGGTCCCCAACCTTGGTCCTCCAGATGTTCTTTGACTTCAACTCCCAGAAATCCTGGCCAGTGGAGGTGGTGGTAAAGGCTTCTAGGAGTTGTAGTCTAAGAACATCTGGAGGCCCAAGGTTGGGGACCATTGATCTAGATGACACTAGCTTTGCTTAGCTTGACATATGCCTCTGGTTGCATTTTGTTGTTATTCATAGCTAACTATGCTCTGATGGCAATAAGTATTTCCCCTTCTTGTTATTTACATCAGAAACAGCTAGTTTCTTTTATTATTTCAGGACACTTTTGTTCTCCAGATTATGATATAGGCTCAAAATGTATTTTGCTGTAATTCCAAATGTCTTTGGGGCTAATTTGGCTCATATATGAAGTAAGTGCTGCATTGCAGTGAAGGCTTATCACGGTAGAGTAGTGCATGCTTGGGTTTATCGAGGCAGTAAATACAAAATCCTAAGGGAGTTGTGACATTCCAAGGTAGAGCATATCTTTCATAACATGAAAAAAAAACTTTGCTCTTTTTAACAAAGATAAGTTTGGGCAAAATGTTGACCCTGTCTCCAGTCACTAGGAGTACTGTGGTAGAACTAGACAGAATTATTTAGAGATTTGGTCTCAAGAGTGCAGAATCCTATTTACTCAATTCACTCTCTTCTCTCTCTCTTTTAATTCAAGAAATTTCAGTGACTGTACAGTATCCTTGCCAAATTTGTTTTTCTGAGTATGATTTCTAAATGTTGTGTATCATGAACAGCTAATTTTTCAACCTAATTTCCCTGTCTTTGATTCAGTCCCTCATGTAGATGAAGAACATTCTGGGAATGATCATGCAATACAGTTTTTGTGCAAATAGAAGTACTATTAGAAGCATATATTCCCCTCATCCCCTGTTCTTTATAAGTGCAGGGATCCAGATAATAGGAGCAATATATGTAGGTTGTTAAAGCCAGGCTTTCGGGAACTAGAATAAAAGTGAATGACAACATTATGGTTTCAGTTTCACATCTTGATGATTCAGCTCTATGCCAGATTTAGGGAGGTGCACGGTGGACATTTTCATATATCTTTTTTTTGGGTTCTTTCAGGGGTATCACCTTCATTTTCTTTTGTGTTTGTATTTTTTTGCATACCAGTCCTCTCATTTATAGTTGAAATGGAATGCCTCTTTCTGGCCATTTGTTTAGAGTTGTCTCATTTGTGTTTTCTGGCATGCAAAAACCCTTAAAGAACCCTTAAAACTGTTCCAAAAACAGAAACAAGGCAACAGAGAAAAAGCAACAGAGAACAAATCTATTCCCAAAACAGGCAACTGTACATAAGAAAGAAAAGTCATCAGCAGACCAATGCAGCACCAGTTTATACTACCACATGCAAAATAACAGTATGAATTTTAGTGCCACCCACCAAACATAACTGACCCGCTGAGCAGGGCAGAACAGTAGAAAAAAGAAAGGGATGCCAATTAGAGAGGCACTGACTGACTGCCACAAAGAGACACCTACATACCAAAGCAAACAACAGGGGTATAATGTCAAGCACAACAAAATAGAAATGCCCCAAGCTAGGCCCAGCCACCCACATAGTCCACTGACACAATCACAAAGTCCATTTCCTAGTGCACCCCCCCCCACAGGAGCAAACAAAACTTTTTGCAAAATATCAATGTATACATCTTTAACAAAATCAATAACCAATAAAATAACCAAATAACATTTTTTAAAATTTTGTCAAATGGAAAGCAGCCACCCCCTGATAAAGAAATAATAGCAAAACAAAAGAAAACACTGAACAGCCCGTCTCCTGAAAACTAAGAAAAATAAGCAAGAAAATAAAGGCAAGAAGTATAATCAAAGCTCCCCTCAAGTCAAAACTGCTAGAATATGGTGAGATTTATCTCCTTCTTACTACTTGATGCCTTCTCTTCTGTTCTCTTTTTTGAGTTCAGAAGGCAAAAGAAGGCAGGCTAGGAATCAGAAAAATAATCCAAGAAAAGAAAGGACCTCCCCACCCCCAAAAAGAAGAAGATGAAGAAAGTGATGGGGGAGCATATAGAAAATAATTCCAGGGAGGCACTATGGCACAGGCAGGCTGCCTGATGACAAAAGCAAAAATAGTCCAAAGAAATGTGGGGAGAAATACCCCCCAAAAGGGGGGGAGCATCCAATGGAGGCACAGCATACATGCAGGCAGCAGTTCAAAGTGGAGGGCACCTGGAACTCAGCACATAGTGATCTCATCCACAAGAAATGACTGGAAAGCAAAAAGAGCACTCCTCATTTATTTCCAGGCCTTTTTCCATGTTCAAAATTCCAATTCTTTCAGAAGTTCTGACTGGCTTCTGACAGCCTTTGTGACCACACTAGTGAATGAAAAAAAATGCAGGCTATCTGAATAGTGAAGGAAAGGGCACCAAAAGGTTACACAAAACAGGGAACATGAAAGAACCATGAAACGTTTGTGTACCCTTCATTCATAAATACAAATAATTTGTGTTTTAGAGGCTGTCTTTGGACAATAACAAAAAGAAAATGAATTATACAAAACAGAGCCTTTTTCATGTTTTGGGTCTTCATGAAAGGCCCATCTCTTGTCAGATTTCTATGGCTCTTTTGTAATGATTTACAGTGAACCCATATTTATTTCCTTACAGATTATAAGAAAGCAGAAAAACAAAGCTGAGCAAATGGATGCCAGTTTTCAGTGGCCACAGTCCAGGAGCAGCAGTGGCCTGACGTCTGTTACAGCCTCAGATCAGAGCATGCTGACTTTCCCAGGGAGTCGTAGAGGATCATACACCTTATGGGTGAGCTTCCAGATCTGAGTGTTATATTTCTGTTCTATATTGCCTGAAAGTGGTGGCTTGTGTGTTCATGTCAGAGTACATAGGGTTTTTTTTTTACTGATAAGAAGCCTCTGTTTGACTGACAAAATTGAGGCTTCTTGCAGAATACTCCTTCTCTTAGAGCAGATATGTTGCTGTTCACTTATTTCACTCCATTTTCTGAAATTATAAGGTGTCAATTCAATATTTAATTTAAAATATTAGCTATTAAATTTGCTGCTTTGCTTCTCCCCCCAGGCACCTGACTATAAGACGCACCTAATTATGGAGCGAAAAATATGGTAATAGTTATGTCTTCAAGGGCTCCCTCCGATGTTGGGGGAAAGCCCTTTGAGACCTCCTGGGGGTCCCCCGCTGCCACAAAGGCAAAAAGGCAGGGGGAAAGGACGGGAGACTTGAATCTCCCATCCTTTCCCCTTGCCTTTTTGCCTTTGGAGGTCTGCAAAGGCTCCCTCTGATGATGGGGGAAAGCCCTTGGAGACCTCCTGGGGGTCCGATCGTAGCGGCGGGGGACCCCAAGGAGGTCTTCGGTGGCTAAGAGAAAGCCATCGGAGACCTCCTGGGGGTCCCCCGCCACCGCAAATGCAAAAAGGCAGGGGAAAGGATGGGAGATCTCTGGGAGAGCACGGCAGTGGGGGACCCTCAGGAGGTCTCCAAGGGCTTCCTCCAAGCCATCTGAGACCTCCTGGGGGTCCCCCCACCACTGCAATCGGACCCCCAGGAGGTCTCCAAGGGCTTTTCCCCAATATCGGAGAGAGCCCTTGCAGAAGTGTATTCGCTCCACACTCCCCCCCCCATTATTTTTTGGGGGAAGTGTTTCTTATGGAGCAAAAAATACGGTAGGTTTAACAGTCATAAGAGTACCAATTACATATCATGTTATATTTAAGACTTTTCCCACATGGGTTATTTTTTAAGCATAATGACTTTATAGGCTAATAGACAGTTGCCAAAACAATCTAAAACTGACTCACAACAATAAAGTATGATGAGCTACAGGACCACAGGGAAAAAAAGAAATGAAAGTCTGTATTACCTCTTCGAATCATGCATTTTCTATTAAAGAGGATTTAATTAATATTGAATTTATATGGTCAGATTCTTGTATTGATTTATTTACAATAAATGCAACATCCACATTTACCTTTCCAGAGACATTCAAAACAACTAACAAAAGCATACAAAACATAATAATCTGATTATCAAAAACCAAAAATGAAACATGACAATGTACTCAATGTACCAAAAATAATGGAAAACCAGAATTGCAGGGAGGAGTCACATTACATTTCAAAGAGCTTAATCCTAAACCTCACTTTATTACTGCATGAATGGGTCTTATAAGCTTTGACATTACAGCTGTATTATAAAACAAAATGATGCTGTACCAGTTTTTAAAATATCATTACACCCTTATCATTGGCAGATGATTTTTAGGAGAAACTTCAGTCCCACTGAACACAATGGGACCAATGTAAAAATCCCAAGCACATTTCCATTTACTGGTGTATATGGAAATTGTTGCATTATGTACCATGAACCTAGCAACCCTAACAGGGATTTCAAGGTATGTGGGATATATAAAGACTGGTTTTATACGTGTCTCCTTATGAATTTCTGTGGGTGAATGGGGGTTTGAACCAGGTCTCCTGAGTCTTAATCCATCACTCTGTCCATTACACCACAACAGCTCTCGTATGGGAATTACAGTGGTGCCTCGTATAACAAGTGCCCTGTTTAATGACAAATCCGCATAGCAGTGCGGATTTTGCGATCGCAAAAGCGATCGCATTGCGATGTTTCCTATGGAAACAGCTAGAAATGCTGTCATTTTCTCACGTTCAACAATCAGTTTAACTGATTTTTTGTGAGAAATGTTAATTAAACACATTATCAGATGTCTTGAAACGTTATGTAACTAACTGAAATTCTCTGCTGCCAGGAGATTGATTCATTGAGATATTTTGGCAAGCTATTTTTAGTTGTTTGCACTTGTGTGGCTGTGAGCATAAGAGTATAAGAAATTAACCCTATAGGGTTTTCAAATCAAAGTGTTTTGAGAGGAGTACACGGTGATTGACTGTGATGGGTGTTATTCTGAGTGCAACATATTTGAAAAAGACAAGAATGGAAACTGAACAGCTCTTTAAAATCAGTGTTAAAAACAGAAAAGGAATGCAACAAACGTGGTATTGTTAGCACAACCTAGTGGTTTAAGGGATTGCAGAGTTAACTTTTGATACTGGTATTTCATTACTGCATAAAGCCAGGGTTTTTGCCTGCTTATACAGCCTAGACTCAAAACTTGGGTATGCTGGTGTAACTCCACTGAACCTGTTGTTCAGGTTAACACCTGTCCATTATTATGGACCAATAACTCTGAGATCAAGTGATTTTAATGCTTGCCATATCTGACTTGCTGACAATAAAGCATCAGATCCCTTAAGATTTACTGGTTCAAGCATGACTCCAAATCTTTGTTGCCCTGGTTTATTCACCACAAAATAATTGCAATGATACATTTCCTCAGTGTTTGTCAAGTATAACTTATCACCATTCAGAAGTACAGTGGTGCCTTGACTTACATACGAACAATTCAACTTACGAACAGCCCCGTTCACATAATTTTGCTTCGACATGTGAATGGTGCTTCAACTTACAAACCAAAAAATGTGGAAAAAGCGGGAAATGCACTTTGGACTGCCTGGTACTGCCTGGTACTGCCTGGCACTGTAATTTTAAAATGCAAAAATTGGGTTAAAAGGTGCTTGGTTTGGTTTAAAGCTGCTTGGTTTTAAAGGTGTTTTGTTCAAAAGCTGTTTGTTCCCTCCCTCCCTCCTTTCCTGCCCTTTTTTAAACCTTAGGTCATTTTAGGTTTAAAAATATTCTCCCCCTAGCGGTAGAGAACGAATTAAATGCTTTTGCATTAGTTCCTATGGGAACGAATGTTTCGACTCACAAACCGTGCCTCGACATAAGAACAAAAAACAACCAGAACGGATTAATAGGTTTTCAGTGCATTCCTATGGGAAATGCTGATTCAACTTACGAACGTTTCAACTTAAGAACATCATTCCAATACGGATTAAGTTTGTTAACTTGAGGCACCACTGTACTTAGCATCCTTCAATTGAGAGGGGTTATGCATGAAGGTGTACAATTTATGCACTATTGGCACTGAGAAGTAGATAGAGTCTGTTAAAAATTCTCTGTCAATGCAAGTGTCCATTATGTCCTTTAGAAACTGAACGCTAGTATTTAATTCTACTCTTCTATCACAATCCACAACCAATTCCTCCAGACTGCTTGGTTCTAAACTGATTGACATCAAGAGAGAAACAGGATTTACTATCAGCTTAATTCTATTGCAGATTACCTTGATATATTGCAATATCTAGTCTAGTAGTGTTTTTCCAACATTCAGCAAATAAGCACTTTCAGGGTCCAGCTTTAATGCCATATGCATGCGAGACTTTTATTCAGAAGAACTGGTGTGCTAGTATTTAAACTCCAGAGCATAAGCAAAATGTTGCCCATGAACAATGTATTTGCTCTTGTTATGAGTTCAGCTGAAGAAGATCTGGAATCTGAGGGGTTAATTACAGCTGATGAAAATGCTGGGCACTTGACCTGGGCAACAGCGTTGGCCTGGGATTGCAGTTGTTCCTGCTGAAGCTGTGCCACCGTTTGTGTAAGAAACTGCACCTGAGTAAGCACAGCATTCAGCTGACCAGAACCTTCATTTGCTTCTCCCTCCATCTTGTGGAGAGAGTGTGTGGTGGAAGCAATCTGTCATGTTCCCAGTATCCATTACTTGTGCCAGTGAAACTTTGCTTACTGGATGGGTGCTGGCTGTTTGTTTATGCCATGGTCGATTCTGGGGCTGACCACTGCTTCATTGACATGGCCTTCGTGAAACAACACTGGATCCCTGTCCAGGACAAAGAGACCCTGACCCTAGTTGAGTCTATAGACGGGCGTCTCCTCCACTCCGGCCCGGTGACCCAGGAAACCTATCCGGTTATTCTACAGATCCAACACCATCAGGAGCAACTACAATTCAACGTTGCACATATGCCCCGTTTTCTGCTCATTCTGGGACCTTCCTGGCTCCGAACACATAAACCCCTAGTAGACTTGGCCCGAAGGCTGTTGCGCTTCAGGGATCTGTGTCCACATCTGGTTCCACCGGCCACCTTGGCTACAGCAGGATCAACAGACTGTCCCATGATACCTTTGGAATACAGGGACTTTGCTGATGTTTTCGAGGAGAAGGGGGCTGACCAGCTACCCCCGCATCGACCCTATGATTGTGCCATCAATTTGGTACCTGCGGCACACCTCCCTGTGGTGTGGATCTACCCTATGTCTGAACCAGAGCTAATGACCTTGAGGGACTTTCTTGACAAAAACCTGAAACAGGGATTCATCCAGCCATCCATGTCACCCCAGTCTGCACCCGTTATCTTTGTCAAAAAAGGGCAAAGAGCTCTGCCCCTGTAATGATTACCAGGCCTTGAATAAAATTACTATTTGGGACTGCTACCCCCTGCCATTGATTGGTGAACTCCTGGATCGCCTTAAGGGGGCACGTATCTATACCAAGTTGGACCTCCATGGCGCCTACAATTTGGGGAGAATCTGTGCAGGCGACGAGTAGAAGACGGCTATCGGAATTCCTTATGGCCAGCATGAATACCTGGTCATGCCTTTTGGCCTGACCAACACTCCAGCTGTATTCCAGCGGTTCATGAACGTTATCTTTCAAGGCCTGCTTGATTGCTTTGTGATCATCTATTTGGATGACATTTTGACTTACTCCCAAGATCCCACTCGGCACACAGAACATGTTCGTCAGGTCTTACAATGACTGCGAGATCACAGACTCTATGCCAAGCTGGAGAAGTGTGACTTCAACCTGCAAGAAGTCAAGTTCCTAGGCCACATTGTGTCACCCCAAG